TGAAGGGGCCTGTGAACCTTTGCAGGTGTTTGTGTTATGTAGGCTCTGAACCCTGGTGAGAAATGAGAATGAATCCCCCACAGAATGTTGAGGTATCATGCAACCCCTTAGAGCCTGTCTTACATATTCCTGACTTGCACTATAAGCCCAGTCACTTCTTGTTCCTCCAGTTCTGAAATAATGAAACAAAACCTGAAGGGTGCTTGGCACCAGCAAATGGAACTGGATGTCCCATGTTTGATGTATCCACATTTTACGTCTCTACTTTAGACAAGTTATTGTTAATGCTGAAGCTTGTTATGTGAGAACAAGCTTTAAAAAAAAGATTTTCACCTCTCTCTTATGGATTTTGATGCACATTAGGAAGTTTCTATAAATTCCAGAAAAATAGTGATTAAATATTGTACAAAACAAATACACAGATGCACATACATGCATCCTAGGCACAGCTGTATTCTGAAGTTCTTCTTTGTAAAAGGACCCTCATTTGAATTTAATAGAAGTCTATCCATTTTTCAGAGGCCTTTTGCTCACACAGTAGTTGTTTGCTAGGTGTAAATATACATATTACAACTACTTATGGAAAGGAATTATTAATTGTCTTTTTCTGAAATTCTCCAAGAATTCTTTTATGGTGCTGTACCAATAATAATCATTATTATTAAGCAAAATACAGGACTATGTAGCACTTTAAAGACTAACACGGCTACATTTCTATCATTATTATTAACTGATTGCAGCACACACTTCATAAGTGTGCAATGTTTCAAAACAAGATTTCAACAGCATTTCACAATCCGCTGTAGACCATAAATAGAGACTCTCCATACCCTCTCTAGGTTGGAGTCTTTTCTCTCCAGTGACATTGAGTTCCCAGCCAACCTTCAGCCATGAAGATTCTCTACCTTCTCTTTGCTGTCCTCTTCCTGGTGCTTCAAAGCTCTCCTGGTAAGATCTTAATTAACTGAAGGGAGAATATACAAGGACTATTGTGAATCTATGCTAAGATTTCCTAAAACTTTGTATCATAATTTTTTCAGCTTTTTATTTTTCATCCATTTGATATTTGAGTGTAGAGTGTAGGGTGAGAAAAATGCCTATAATACACCTATTAAGAGCCATTCCGATTTGGCTGAACCGGTAATAATATCTCTAACTTCTGCCTGCTGAAATCCTACGGGGATTGGTTTTTGCCACTACACTAGTCAAACTTTTTATAAAAGATTTTTAAAAAACCATAAAATCATCACCTATAAAGTTAGCGGGTGACAAAAATTCAGGGACAGAAACTGTAACAGAGAGATGTAGATCACCTGGTAAGCTGGGAACAAGTAAACAATCATAAGGCTAAATATAAATGTATGGGTCTAGGAACAAAAATGTTGGTAATTCCATCCTGGTAAGCAGGGACTCTGGGCACACCTACACAGCAGGGGAAAACCCGAATTAAGGTACACAACTTGAGCTACGTCAATTGCATAGCTTAAGTTGAAATAGTTTAATTTGGCTTTTGATGCTTTTACACTGCAGGAAGTCTAAGAAAGAGCACTCTTCCTCCGACTTCCTTTACTTCTCGTAAAATGAGGGTTACAGGAGTCGGAGTAAGAAGTCCTCCATCTCTCCATTATTTCGAAATAATGGCTTGCTGCATAGACACGCTCTTTGTTACTTCGGAATAACATTCGTTATTCTGAAATAACGCTGCTGTCTAGACATGAGCTCTGAAAAAAAGATTTGTAGATTCTGGATGGATTATCAGCTAAGAATTGCTAAAAGGGTTCATAGGTACCTTGGCTGCATAAAGATGGAAATCTCAAGTAGGAGTAGAGAGATTATGTTACCTGTGTATTTTGCATTTCCTGCTGTGACCACTTCTGGAATACTGTGTCCAGTAATAACTCAGAAAATATCCTGATGCCCTATATAAATCCATGGTACTCCCAGATCTTGAATACTATCTGCAGATGTCACCCTATCACAAAAAAAGATAAATTAGTATTAAGAAAGTTACAGAGAATGGCAACTAAAAGGATTAGGGGTGTGAAACAGCTATGTGAGAAGACATTAAAAGGATTGGGTCTTTTTAGCTTCCTCTTTCTGTGGCCTATAGTAATGAAAATACCCTTGGTCTAAGGGATTAAAGTGTTTGGATTGAAGTGTGTGGAGTAACAGGGTCTGTGAATCACATTCTCCTTTGATGAAATGACAGACTTTCTAGGGGCTAGTACTATCCAGGAGGGTACTGAACAGTACAAGGTGCACATTTCTGGGAGATAAAGCCTGGACTGAGAGTTGGCAGGTGTCTCTGTGCAGCATAATTTAGGAGTGACCTGCTAGACATATTCCTATAATTGCTCTGGGAGTGACTTTCCATGCTAGAGGCTGTGCAGGGCTGGATTTATGGAGCCCTATCAGTACGGTAAAACTCCAATAGTCCGGCATCCAATAGTCCGGCACTCCTCATAGTCCAGCATCAAAAAGGCAAGAGCCTAGTGAGTGAGCTTCGGCAAAAAATCAGTCACAAGGTATCAGCGGCAGCAGCTGAACTGAGCAAAAAGGGTAAAAAAGGGTTAAAAAAACTAAAACATTACAGTATACTGTATACAGTATGTACAATAAAAAGGGTTAAGAACACTTTATATACAGTATATAATGTATACAGTATATATATATATATATATAAAACCATCTTATTGTACCTCCTGATAGTCCGGCATATTTGATAATCCGGCACCACCTAGATCCCATAGGCTCCGGATTATCGGAAGTCTACCGTACTATTAAACTGGTAAACAGCCAGGGGTGGGCGGGAGAAGGGTGACAATATTTTAGAGATGTGATTTCATAATCTCCAGTAACATACTAATGCATTTTTAAAAAATGAATGTTAAACTAAGGTCCTATAGATTTACACAGTACATTCAGACACTGACAGTATATACCTGGGGGTGGCAAATGCCTGTTAATTGGTTTCATTACCAATCGAATGGCTGTTTCACTTATTTGATGTTCTGCTAATACATCTGGCAGGTTTTTTTATTTCACTTTTAAGTGAACTAGAACTAGATCCTCTCTGGAGGAAGCACAACCACAGAACAGAAACAGGAAGAGGCAGGTGGGTGAACATTAAAACCTAGTGGTACCCCAAATTTTCAGGTGCCCTACACAGCTCTGCGTATGGGAGAGGATGGCTCTGGGGCTGTGTGTAAGCAGGCCCAGGAGTGGTTGCTTTCACAGTGGAGCAGTGTGTGAGGCATACCAGGTTGAAGAGCTGGGGGGACATGGCTGTCGAGTGGTCCTGACTGTGCCTTGGAGAATGTTACATTGCAGGCATGAAGGAAAGCAAAGCTGCAATCTAGTATAAAATATAATATCCTAAATGTACATTTTCATAAGGGCCAGCCTGGCAATTGGTCACTGAAAAAGAAACCCATGTGCTGAGTCTTCACAAGCATGTCTGTGCAGAGTTTGACAATCAGGCGTTCAATCTAAAAGGGGGTGGTTTAAACCCATCTGTTTCTAAAAGTACCAGCCATCCGATCCAGTGCTGGGCCGGTTCATCCATGCTCAGCCAGCCAGCCTTTAGATACTGCCTGCTACATCATTGTTTGGAACCAACAAGCAACAAAATCACTGCAGCAGTCATGGTGAGGCAGTCACGGTGAGAATATCGCTTTGCATTCTGTACAGGGGTGGGGCTGTGAAGGACACCCACGTGTAGCCTGGCAGTTCTGAAATGGAAAGCACTTCTGCTGAATTAATTCCCTCTGTTCAATTCATAGGGACAGCTGTTGAGTGGGCACAAAACAAGAGACATTCTTATATTATCAAAGACCTAGTGAAATGGGCACAGGGAGATAACATGGCTGACTTGACCTTTTCTCTGTAAACTGGAAATTCAGCTAATGGAACATGCCCGTCATGCTGCAGTCACACCTCTTGGTAACACTAATGTGTGAAGGAAAATCAAGACTCTTTTTCTGTGTGCAGGATACACCCAGTTTATCAGTAACTCCGCTGCATGTTATCGTGCTCGGGGCACATGCCGCCGTCTGTGCATCGGCAGCCGATTGATTGGAACCTGCGGTCAAGGGCAGAATTGCTGCAGGAGGAGGAGATGAGTAAGTTTGGATTCTGTAAGTGAGACATGATAGTGTGAACAGAATATTGGTGTCTCTCTATAGCTGCTGTTTCATGACCTTGGTGGCTCAGAACACAGGGTGCAATTCTGGGACATGGGACAAAGGAAACTTTTCTGCTGCCCCGATTTTGGACTCTCTCAGGTGTTCAAGTTAGAATTAGAATAGCCTGATAGCTATTTTACTAAGGCTGACCATAGCCTGTCCACAACTCAGAGCATCCCAGAGATTCTACAGTGCTCAGTGCCACTGAATTTTTCCCTTTGGGTATGTCTACACTGCACGCTTATTTCGAAATAAGCTATTCTGAAAGGCTTTGTCTACACTGCAAGCTTTTGCGGCAGAAAATAAGCTAAGAAGGGGCTCATTAGCATGAGTCGTGATGTCATTAGCATATTTTCTGCTGATTCTTTTTGCACAAGGGGTTTTTGCACAAAAGAAGCAGTGTAGCCGCTTCCATTTTGCACAAAACTCCTGTTTTCAGCAAGATCCTTATGCCTCTCCCGGATCTTGTGCAAAATGGGGGTTTTGCACAAAATGGAAGTGGCTACACTGCTTCTTTTTGTGAAAAAACCCTTTGCACAAAAAGAAACAGCAGAAAACATGCTAATGATATCGTGACTCATGCTAATGAGTCCCTCATTAGCATATTTTCTGCCACAAAAACTCGCAGTGTAGACATAGCCGAATAGTTATTCCGAAATAGCTTATTTCAAAATAGCACATCTACACTGCAGGGAGGCCTCAAAATTAGTCCGAGGCAGGCTTCCCTAATGTAGACATGCTATCTCAAGTTAGAGCCCTAGGAGGCACTGGGGAGGAATAACTTAGAATGGCCCTGGTGAGGGGCTATTTTGAAATAGCAGCAGTGGAGGGTCTACACACACCTTATTTTGAAATAGCTATTTCGGAACAGGGGTTATTCCTCGTAGAATGAGGTTTACAGATTTTGGAATAAGCCATCTGTTACTTCGAAATTATTTCAAAATAACGGAACAGCTGTGTAGACGCTCGGATTGTTACTTCAAAATAATGTTAGTTATCTCAAAATAGCAGTGCAGTGTAGACGCACCCTTAGAGACCCAATAACATCCAGCACCACTTCAGGAAGATGCTTGCAAGCAGAGCTGCCTTAGGTCCTGTATCGCTCCTGTATTGCAGTTACTCCACCCAACCCATTCTAAAACTCCTCAATTGCCAATATGGCTTCATGCATAGTCAGTGTCTGTAGTCAGGCTGTGGTGTACAGCTGCACTGTTGTTTCATGTAAGCAGATGGAAAACCACCAGGAAGGGCTGCAGTACATTTCCCAGGAGAGAGCCTGTGGGACGTGTCTCCTCTGTATCATTATGCAGCACCTATGAGAACAAAATAGCTGCTCCTTTTTCGGAGGGTTGCGTGTAATAGGAGGGGAGATCCATGTTCAGAAGTCAGGCACATATATTTCAGGAGCCAGGTGAGCAGCCACTTTGCATGTTTCGACACAGACACGGGAACTTCAGGTGTGGCGGATGCTGCATCACCCCCATGTTTTACGCAAGGGTCCCACTTCCGGCCCCATGCGGACAACGCTGCCAATCCCACCCCCCATCTGTGGCCTGATCCTTGGCCCCATTTCCCCTGTTCACTTCCCCATCTCCCAGAGACATGGCCCTGCTCCCAGCCCCCGCTGCGGAGAGATAGATGGACGGAAGTAAGGGGGTTGGCTTTTAGCGCCCCTACCATTAAAACATTCCAGGGCACTGTTTTTGGATATAACTGTTTATCTTCATTACAACTCTGCAGCAGTATGTTGACGTGAAGAAAATGAATCCCCTTTTCTGGAGCTAGCCAGGAAAATCTGTACTCATCATTCAATGATGGGGAAATTGTTGCTCTGTCTTCATTTTAAACACAGGCCATATTTTTCTCTTCTCAATGGACACAGAGCATGAGAGTTTCTTTCTTTCTTTTTTTTCTTTTTTCAGGTCAGCCAGTGAGTGATGGCAGCAGAGACTGGCAATGAAGGATCTCTGGGAATTTGGCAGATGACGCATGGCTTCCAAAATCATCGCATGCTTCTCAATTGGCCTGCAAAGAATCTCACAAGCTGGAAAATTCCACAAGGGAGCCCTTGTGGCATATCTAATAGCTGCTTCTTCGCCTTTTAATAAAAGGATCTGCTTATGGTGGTACATTGCAAACCTTTGTGTGTGTTTTCATTAGCACGCGGAGAATGGTCTGCTATTTCTTTGTCCATAAAAATCCCTTTCTTCTTTTATGTAAATTAAGTATACATTAGAGGAAAGGTCTCTGTCGTATGTTAAAACCCAGGGTGTTGCTGAACCAGGAGATCTACATATTTATATGACTCAGAGAGCTGATATTGATAAATCTTTGCCTTTCCTTGATCCTTATACCAAGCCGTTTGCTTGTCATCAGAAGAGTTGGGTTCCCTAACATCCATGCCAGTGTTTCATGGCCTAGTGACTTTCTCTCTCCTCCCCTTGCTTCCCAAATGTCTCCACCACTAGGGCACTTCTCCTGTACCTGAACTTCCATGTGCAGGAGCCGGAGTGGAGTGGAAGTATCCTTGAGAGGTTATTTAGCTCAGTCCCCTACACTCGCGGCAGGACTAAGCATTTTCAAAACTCTCTTTGGCAGGTGCTTGTCTAACTTGATCTTAAAAATCTCCTATAAAGGAGAACCCTCAAACCTCTTAGTTCATTTATTCCAGTGCCTACATACTCCAACAATTTGGGAATGTTTCCTAATGTCCAATCTAAACTTCCCTTGCTGCAATTTAAGTCCATTGCTTCTTGTCCTGTAACTCAGAAGCTAATCAGAACATTTCTCCCTCCTAATTGTAACAACCTCTCATATATTTCAAAACTGTTCTCATGTCCCCTCTCCGTGTTCTCTTCTCCAGACTAAACAAACCCATTTTTCCCATCTTCCCTCATAAGCTATGTTTACTAGATCTGTAATCATTGTTGTTGCTCTTCTGTAATTCGTCCACATCTTTCTTGAAATGTTCACATCTTCCCCAGAACAGGACACAATACTCAAGCTGAGGCCTAATCAGTGCAGAGTAGAGTGGAAGAATTATGTCTTGTGTCTGCTAACAACCTAGAATGATGTTTTCTTTCTTTGCAATGGCATCACACTGTTGACTCATATATTAGCTTGAGGTCCACTATGATCCCCAGATTCCATTCTGCAGGACTCCCTCCTATACACTCATTTCCCATTTTGTGTGTGTGTGACTGATTGTCACTTCCTAAGTAGAATACTTTGCATTTCTCCTGATGGAATTCCACCTGATTTACCTCAGACCATTTCTCCAGTTAGTTCAGATTATTTTGAATTTTAGTTGTATCTTCCAAAGCATTTGCAACCCCTCCCAGCTTGGTATCTTTGGCAACCTTTATAAGTGTACTCTCTACACTATTACCTACATTATTGATTACATTAAACAGAATGGATGTGTCTACACTGCACCCCTTTTCCGGAAAAGGGATGCAGATGAGACAAGTCGGAATTGCAAATGCAGCGGGGATTTACATTTTCCCCGCTGCATTTGCATGAACATGGCTGCCGCTTTTTTCCGGCTCGGGGCTTTGCCGGAGAAAAGTGCCAGTCTAGACAGGGATCTTAAAATCAGGAATAAGGACTTCATTTTCCGAAAGATCCCTGTCTAGACTGGCGCTTTTCTCCGGCAAAGCCCCAAGCCGGAAAAAAGCGGCAGCCATGTTCATGCAAATGCAGCGGGGAAAATGTAAATCCCCGCTGCATTTGCAATTCCGACTTGTCTCATCTGCATCCCTTTTCCAGAAAAGGGGTGCAGTGTAGACACAGCCAACTAGTCCCAGAACTGAGCTCTATGGGACCCCACAGGATATACCCTTCCAGCTTGACTGTGAACCACTGATAACTACTCTGTGGGAATAATTTTCCTACCACTTGTAGCTGTGAGGGGGCTTTCCCTTTACCATGGCCCTTGCTTTTTGTCACAGAGATAGCAAGCCGAAGACTAAAAATCTGAAGTGCAGGAAATGAAACATTTATTGGGGTTAATTCCAAACCAGCATATTCATAGTGCTACACCCCAGCAGAATCTGTGTCCTCAGTCCCACCTCCTCCGTCTTAGCAGGCCCCAATATACCTGCACTGCACACCCCTAGTCCCAACCCTTATATATTATCATCATACATGAGTTTGGAGGGTGTTGAAACTGGGGTCTTTGTCCCACCCCTTTAGCATCCCATGGGAGGAATAAAGGGATGGGTTTGTGTTCTGGCCAAGGCCAGGCATTTCTTTGGCTTTTAGTATTTTTGTGGCCTCCTTCTCTTACCTCTCCCCCTCCCATCCCATCATCCTCTCTTGTCCCTCCTCACTAACTGCTTGACTTTGGCTTGAGAGTCAGCCTTCCATTGTATGTTCCCTCCCTATCTGAAACCCTTGCCACGTTGTTCGTTCTGTTTCTGTTCTCCTTCGTCACTAGTTTACTTCTGACACCATGTCATGTCCTTCTTGTAAACAGTAGATTGCAAGGCTGCTACTAGCAAGTCAGGCTTCTGTATCACATATGGACTGGTCACAGAGCTTCCTTCTCAGGGAGATACTCACCGGGTGCCAGATGTCCCAATTTTATAGGGACAGTCTTGATATTCTGGGCTTTGTCTTATATAGGTGCCTTTTATCCCCCTATTCCATGTCCTGATTTTTCACACTTGCTAACTGATCACTTTAGATACACACCAGATGCATTCACAGTAAAATCCTTTAATATTATTCCAGGCACAGCAGAAGTTAGTTCATGCTCCATCTAGTGGCTGCAAGGAATAATACAATTTAGGATGCCATTACAGCCAAATCTCACTAATAGGGAAAAATAATAATAATAGTAGCCGTGTTAGTCTGATCTTGCTGAAACTAAAGACAGGACTATGTAGCACTTTAAAGACTAACAAGATGGTTTATTAGGTGATGAGCTTTCCTGGGCCAGACCCACTTCCTCAGATCAAATTGTGGAAGAAAATTGGCATGGCCATATATACCAAAGAGATACGATCAAAAAAAGTGAACACACATAAAATTGACAAATCAGATTTTAGAATGGGGGGAGGGGTGGTGAGGGGATGAGGTTAGTGTCTAGGAGATAATGATATTAGGAGTGATAACTGGGGAAGCTATCTTTGTAATGGGTAAGATAATTAGCTAATGGATGTCGCATTATAAAGCCAGACTTCTGGGCATTTAACACCTCATGTTTACATCAAGAGCTAAGTACTGGGACACTTCCAGCCTACTTAATTAGCCTCATTAGCAGCGGTCCTACAATTGACAGATACTTTCCCCTCCCCTTCTTTTTCTGTTATAAATTCTGGGCTCCTGTTAACCCTTCACAGCTCATCTGATGAAGTGGGTTATGCCCACGAAAGCTCATATTTTTGTTAGTCTCTAAGGTGCCACAGGACTACTTGTTGTTTTTAATAAAAAAAGAAAACAGTAGAGGGAAAATGCCCCTCATGCTAAAATTGCAACTAGTATTTACCCTGCTCCACTGAAGTATAGCTAAGGTTCATCTTTTGTACAGGATTTGACCCCACTCAGAGCTTCCTATTGCAATGTCAATTGGGGGTGAATGGTACAGGGCATGTCCCCACTATACTGTACCCTATAAATGCTGCACACAAAGGCTGTGTCCAGACTCCATGCCTCCGTCGACGGAGGCATGTAGATTAGCCAGCTCGGAAGAGGGAAATGAAGCCGCGATTAAAATAATCGCGGCTTCATTTAAATTTAAATGGCTGCCCCGATCTGCCGATCAGCTGTTTGTCAGCAGATCGGGAGAGTCTGGACGCGATGCCCCGACAAAGAAGCCTTTCTTCATCGACACAGGTAAACCTGGTTTCACGAGGCTTACCTGTGTCGATGAAGAAAGGCTTCTTTGTCGGGGCATCGCGTCCAGACTCTCCCGATCTGCTGACAAACAGCTGATCGGCAGATCGGGGCAGCCATTTAAATTTAAATGAAGCCGCGATTATTTTAATCGCGGCTTCATTTCCCTCTTCCGAGCTGGCTAATCTACATGCCTCCGTCGACGGAGGCATGGAGTCTGGACACAGCCTTTGTGTGCAGCATTTATAGGGTACAGTATAGTGGGGACATGCCCTGTACCATTCACCCCCAATTGACATTGCAATAGGAAGCTCTGAGTGGGGTCATCATTTGCTGTGCAACGGAGATTCAGGAGTCCACAAATGCGTATGTAGGTAAAGGATTATTCATAGACAAAAAGAAAGGCTGAGAGTTAAAACTGTTAAAAGAATCAATCAGTTTACTGTATTCGTAGGACTATTTGCTATTCTCCTATTTCCAACCAAGCTTATTTAAGATTGGCTCTATAGAATGCAGATTGAAAGGAGGCTTTAAGTCACTTCTCAAGTGCCCAAATTCTGGGATGCTTTGGGATTGCAGTGTCTTCAGTATGTTGGAATAATACTGGTGATTGTTCCGACAGCCACATCCTTGGCTAGGCTACGTATGGCTGGCTCCACAGCTTGGAAACTCCCAGAATCTCCAGGGTGTTCAATGCTATAGAAATTGCGCCTCTGAGACCTGCCAAACCCAACAGCAGCTTTAGCTCCTGCCTGCCAGCGGTTGCAAGGGTGGCTATGTAGGATCATGAGTGGAGAGAGAATCATGAGCTTTAGTGGGCAAAACCCACTTCCTCAGATGAGTTGGAGCAGAAAAGGACCATTTACAACCCTGTCCTGCTCACACACTGGTGACCCTCTTCCCTCAGCTCCTTAAAGGTATCTATTCAAGTCTAATATTTGGCTGGAGCAGCTTATACTCATGGAGACTGGGCAAGAAACAGCTCCATGGCCTAGATCTTTCAGAACTGAGAAAATAACAAGGAAGAATGAAAGGAAAATCCACAGGTCACGGCGTATCTCACCTCAGGATCAGTCTGGAGCAACTCAGAGACCAAAATGGCTGTTCTCTGTTGATAAATGATATATTCAGTCATTTTCTCTTACTTTGCTTCAGTATGAAATATACTCAAGAGACCAAATAACCAACATCAGTCCGGTTCATTAATAAGGTACAGGAAAAAGGTTCTTTACAAACCAGTCCCCAAAGGGTTGCCCCAAGCAGACATGTTATATTCCCCATGTGCATGAAACATGCTCCT